GCAGCCCATCGCCGCCTCCTCCCGCCGCCACCCCGCCCGGCCCGGCCCTGCCCCGCCCGCGGACCCACCTGGCAGCGGGGCTGGGGCCGGAGCTGGGGCTGACGCGGTGCCGCCTGCTTGCCGGGTGCGGTACGGTGCGGTGCGGCGCTCCGCAGCGCCAGCAGCACCCGAGGGAGCGCTCAGAACCCATCTCTGCCCGGTGGCTGCCGCGGGCACTGCGGGGACAATCGCTTACCACGGCTCAGTGAGACATCCGGAGCTGCTGTGGCACCAACTGCAGTTGTACTCTAACAGCGAACATGGGAAGAAAATGGCTTTGAATCGTGTCTAATACTCCGAATTCAACACCGGTCTCTGCCAAGAGTCGTTATCCCAAATTTGCTACTCCTCTTTGTACCTGCCTTTAAGCAGCTATGCGGCGTGAGGATGCTGTGCTTGGGGCCGTGGGTCTGATCTGCTGTGCCAGGCACGTTGGGAAGGACAAGGGATGTTGTTCAGTGAGAATCCAGTAGAAGATATTTATGCAGTATGCTTTCAAAGAATAATTTGAGTAAGCACTGAGAGAATCTACTGTAGGTTAAAGAAGCACCAGGAACAATGAGAGATGAGTGTTGCTATAGGAGGTGTACTGAAGATGGTATCTGAGTGATACACTGAGGGGCTGTGAAGGCAAACAGCTCAGGTTAAGAGGAGTAACAGATGAGCAAAGACAAGCGCAGATCTTCCAACTCCAGGTGTTCGAATATGGCGTAAGCTTAAAAAATAAATAAAATCTTGTAAAGATTATGAAGTGGATTTATATATTTTATAATTGGGGCTATACGTTCTGCCCTAAGTTTGCACAGAACCTGAATCACAGAGAGGCCAAGGCTGGGGGCATCCAAGGCTTCCTCTGGTCCCACCTTGCCCCAGCAGGGCCACCCAGAGCAGGGTGCTTGGTCCCACAGCCAGGTGGGGCTGCAGATCTCCAAGAAGGAAACTCCACAGCCCGTATGAGAATGCTGTGCCAATGGTCTAGCATCTGTACAGCTGTGCTTTCTGGTGGGCAGGGCAGCTCCTGGGCCCCCGTTTTTGTCCAACACCACTTGTCCTGGCACCAGCACCACTAGAAAGATCCCAACTCTGTCCTCCCTGCACTTCTCTGCAGGGAATTAAGGCCACTCACCACAGGCAAAGACCCTCCTGAGCTTTCCCTGCCCCATGTTGAGCAGTCCCAGCTCTCAGCCTCTCACAGCAGAGGTATGCTGGGTCCTTCAGCATCTCTTTGGCTCTGCACTGGACTCCAGTCTGTCCAGATCTCTTCTGTACCAGGGAACTGTGACCTCCTGGTCACACTTTGCCTAACGCAGCCATGAATAGTGTTAGCCTTCCTTTTGCCACTGCTATTTGCTCTGGTATACAATTGTAAATGGAAAAATAGTTCTTGTTACCCATAATCCAGAAACTCACCTCCGGGTACCTTGGAAGAAAAAATTTAGCATGCATATTGTTAAGATCCATAAGTGCTATGCAGGAAAGACAATCTGAAATAATAGTGCAACAGATGGTACCTACCTCGCCAGAGGGACAAAGGCTGAGCCCTCAGGTGTTATGGCAAGAAAGCACTGCGTGCTGGTTTAGGCTCAGACTGCTGGTGGGAGACTGCTCAAGTGAGCAAGCCTGGATGTGCTGCAAAGAACTGAGAAGCGTGTTTCATCATAGCTATACAACTGGGTGATACTCAGGGCCAAATAGCAGGGGGGCAAAGCTCCCCATAGAGTCATCCCTCTAGAGTAAGGAACGGAAGAGCATGCAGGGAAACAATACTTCTGTTTTGATAGGGAAATACTCATCCGTTAATGAGATTGTCTTCTATATCCAGACATCTGATCTTAGCCAACAGTAAGCCATACCTGGTCTTTGGGACATTCTGGATAGTCTGCACACCATTTTATTGCACCCTGAGTGCAATTGGCTGTGAATTACTTTGGAGTGAGAGAATTCAGCACTCTGAGGGCTGTGACTGATACCTGCAGCCATCCTGGGGATAAGCTGTTCAGAGGCAAACCATGCTGATGAGTTGGGCTGTACATGGAAAGGTCACATTATTTATATTCCAGAGTCTTGGAGAAGATTGATGGACACCTTGGTCAGATGCATTGTTTTTCACAACATTTGCATCTTTAAAAAAAAACGAAGTCTTATTAGTGAAGAGCAGAGTGGTAGCTCCTTCACAAGTGAGGAGACGAGGACTATTTTCTTCTGTTTCTTAAAACTAATAGCACAGCTGGGACAAAAGCTTCCTGTGTTTGTAACATATTTTGTACTTTTTTTTCTCCGTGATCAGAAATAAACTGTTTCAACAGGATAAGGGTTAAGTAATCCTGAATCGAGACGAGTGAGTTACCCACGCTGTAATAAAAGACAAGAAAGAATATTCAAGTGCATGGAGACAGTAGGAATTGAAGAATGTCTTAGGTTGGAAGAGACCTTAAAGATCATCCAGTTTCAACTCCAAGAAAAGTGCACACAAATGTGTGTGCAACTCATGGCATGGATCATGGCAGACTAAGCAGAGTTGGAGGCACAGCCGATGCCTAATGGGGGCATGCACTGTATGTGTTATAAGGTTGATTATGACACTCAGTGATTTAGCTTTTTAGTCACTCTGCGACCCCCAGCACAGTCCAAGAATTCTGTATCACAGTCCTCAGACAGCTGATCACTTCTGGCTGAGTGTCTTTGAAGATCAGTCCTTCTTTGCAGACAGTAGCATAAAAATGGTGGTACAGATTTAAATCATAAGTGTCACCTGACTCATTTCTCCTGTTTCTTCCAATGGCCAGCAATGAACACCTACAGAAAATCCTAAGAACAAGGCAGACACACAGCGATTCCTCCTGGAACACTTTCCTAGCTCCAGTGCTTTTTGATTCAGACCTATTGTGACCAAGGTGTTGGCTCAGTGCCTCACTGCTTTGAGTGCTCTTTTGTAACTTTCATCAACTGCATATTCAGTTGTGAAATTAAAAGCCACTGTCTCAGTTGCAGCTGGGTTGGAATTGTTTTCTTCAGTGTGTCTGGTAGGATGTAACACTTTGGTTCTAGGAGGAGACCAATGTTGATAAGACACTGATGTTCACAGTCGCTGCTAAGCATTGTGGCACAGAGGAAAGGCCATTGGCAGCAAAGGACTCAGGAAGGAGCAGAATTAGAGCAGCTGTCTGAAACTGGCCAGATGAATATTCCACACCATATGGCATCACATGGTAGGAGTTTTGAAGGGGATGGAAGTTGATCTTTCCTTCTCTTCCACTGCTCAGGGGCTAGCTGGCATTGGTCCAGGGTGGGGAGCAACTGCTTGTGCATCACTTATTATACACATTCATATACATTGTCATAACTATTATCCTTTCCCTTTTCTCTCTATTGGTAAACAGTTTTATTTCAACCAACAAGTTCTACTTTTTTTCTTGTTACCCATCCCACTGGGAACGGAGAGAGCGATGACTGCGTGATGCTTTGCCACCTGCCACGTTAAGACACAACAGTCAATTCAGTGCCCAGCTTGTCAGAGGAATTGTTGTGACCACAGGGCTTGTTGTGAGGGTTGTGGCACCGTAAGGTCTGTCAGAAGAGTTGGAGTAACCACAGGGTCAGTCAGAAAGGTGAGAGCAACAGTGGGACCTGTGACAGAGCTTGGAGAGGACACAGGGCTCGTCATGGGAGTTGGAGCAACTGTAGAGTTCACAGCAGGAGCTGGAACAACCAGAGCCCATTGCAGGATCCACAAAGGACCACTGATTCTGTCTGCTTCTGTGTGATCACTTCATGTGTGCACCTGCATGGGAACTGCTGAATCACAGCCTGAACCTCTGATTGATCACCTTAGGCGAGCAATGAATCAGCCACAGAGCACAGGTGAAGGCAATTCAGCTGCGCTGCCAGAAAGGATGGAGCCTGGCTGCACCTCTCCTAGACCCATTTAAGAGCTGACTACCAGTGGGGGAGGATCTCATTGGAGACCCCCTCCTCTGAAGTGTCATAGTGAGCCCAGGATACGGGTACACATTCTATCTATTCTGTTTTGGTATAACAACTGTGTAGCCAAACTCTCTGGTATATTTCATAACTATAAGATCTGTACATTCATTGATTATACAGCACCCAAACCCTCATTCACTGGAAAAGTATCTGCTCTGTAACTTATCACCTAATCACTGTCATCACTAAAACCATATGCCTATTTTCAGCTGAAATTATCTTTCAATTTAAAGAACTCATTTGTTCCAACTCTGCTCCAACAAGTACACACAGAGCAGCCTCAGACCAAATCCAGGCAGCTTCTAAGTTCTCCACAGAGGAGGTTCCACAGCCTGTACCTGTACAAGAAACCTGCACCAGTGCTCCATCACTGACAGCACAGAAGTGCTTCCCGATGCTCAAGTGAACCTCTAATCTTATTGTTGAAAAGTTGAAGCAGTGCATTAAATCAAATGACTGTCAAGTCCGTAATGGCCATCTGATCATCCTCAGCTTGACTTGTAAATGCAAAGGCTGAAGCCCTGACAACAGTGTAGCTTATTTACTATGCAACAACTCTCACTAGTATCAGTTATACAGCAACGCCAGCTACACTAAGCTTATCTGCCAGCGTTCCTGATTTCAACTGCTTATAGTCTATAGGAATCAGTACAGACTAATAAACCTTATTCCTGTTTTATATGACATGGGATCAACTCAACCTTTTTTTTTCCTCTTTCTTCATTACATCATTTGCTTATTGCATTCTTAATTTACCATTCCCAATTTGCACCAGTTAGAGCTTAAATGCGAACCTGCCTGCCTAGAAGATGAAATAGTTGCTTTCATTAATCCTAACCCCACCTTGGAATGCAGTCATTTATCAACAAGCCAGAATTTGCAGACTCAAAAGTCTGCTGGCAGAAGACTTCTCCCCCAAAATGCAGCTCCCAGCTTCCTTCAATTTTCTAAGACAGGAGGTGCTCTTAGGAGTCTCTAGTTCTTTGTACTTGTTCATCACAGTTTCCAAAACACAATGACACTGGCACGTTACATAATGATTCCTTCAAGTTTTCTGGTTTAGCTTTTCGTTTTGCTTACTTGGCAATGCACAAGATCTCACTGTCCTTCTCCTCTAATGAGGATTCACTAATAACTCTCACCTGCCCTATGTTATTTTGAAACCTTTTTCAGTAGCAGCTTGTTTTACAACACAGCTATACCCAACTACTGCATTCCCTGCAGATTTCCTGACAACTGACTCACTGCATCTTTTTCCATGTTTAATATTTCAGCTTGATTGTATGACACCTGTTTTTCTCTCATTCTTGCATCAGATTGCTTGCTTTGTTTATACAACGTTTATACAACATCCAAATCCCACTGTCAGTTCATTCAAATGCGTCATTCAGAACAATGGCTCAGAGAATCCTTCTTCAGCATTATATCACATTGGAACTTGCATTTACAAACTATGCATCCTTTAGGGCCATCTGCTCATATTTCATGCATCAGAGTCTCTTATCTTCAAGGAAAAAAAAAAAACACACACACAGTCATCAAGGCATAGCAGCAGGCATACATACTGACATTACTCTTCTTTGCTACTGTAGAGATCCTGACTGGAAGACCACTGTACACTAAGGAAGCACTGATTCACGTAACAGTTGACTGGAGCAGGAACAGATCTGAGCTGTGCTCGTCCATCCAGCAAGCCCTCAGGCCAGTATTGTGCTGAGCAAAATCCTTGTCCTTGGTTCCAACTCAGCAGCAGGTTGTGATAGAGGCAGCTCCCACTCATATTGCTTCATAACACCTGTGAGGCCTTGACTTTGACTAAAAGAAATTCTCATTAAAATATCCCTTCTGTCTGGCAGTAGGAATGATTAATATAGGTGTAGTGGTTTTTTTGTTGTTGTTTGTTTGCTTTTCAAGTGCATGTGAGAGAGACTACTCTATCAGCTGTAACTGCCACAATGGAAGAATCTATTCTACAGATGAGATCTACTTGGTGTGCTGCAGGTGGACTGGAGGCTCATTCAATGCTATACCACTCACTGCTCTCAGTATCTGAAGTAATGTAAGAAGATATCTATAGTATTCTCTGAGCTCTAAAGCACAGTATTTTAAATATTACTTCACATTGAGTACATCTCCTACTAAGATCGTAATGCACCAGCAAAACAGTGATTACTGTAAAGCAATCACAGCAGTGAGATTTCCATCAACTTCTTTTACTCTGAGGGTTCACTTAGTGACAAACACACCCCAATAAGAGATTCAGAACAGATTCTTCTTCCTACGTCAGCATCAAGCTCTCTCTTACTTTTCAAATAAGCAAATTTGACTTTTTATCCCTTTTTGAGATTGTTGCAGACTAAGTACTTTCTTTGAAGCTTTTCAGATCTTTCATAATCTCTTTTGAAACTGATACCAGACCTATACCTTATAATCATAAATAAAGCAAATACAATCATTTTCCTTAAATTCTGCATATGTAGCCATGAATAAGGGTAGTCACCCTCACTGGCTCAACATACTGAAATTGAGATTGCTTCCAATTCTAGAAGAACCCAGTATAGTACAGTGGTGCTCTACAAGGTTGGTGTTCGACAAGGGAATTTTCAGTTTCTTTACCTTCCCTGATCACATAACAAAATGAGTGTTCTGCAGTTGCAAACATAGCAAAGTGAAGGCACACTGAACAGTTCTGTCCAGCAGACAACTACGTAAGTTATGTTTGTGACTCCTCAGAATTGAGTGCATGAAGAGAAAAACGAGGTGGTGCAATGACAGCATTGAGGGTGGCAAGGCCAACATAATCTTGTTCCAAAAAGTACCTCATATTCTGTCTCAACACCACTCACCAGAATTGCATGGCTCAAAGAAAGATGACCTGAAAAGCTCTTCTTACACCCCTCATCCCAGAACCTATAAAGTTTACAAGTAATCACATCAGTCTGCTTGAAAAGAGATCTATTTGTTTAAAAAACAAACAAACAAACAAAAAAAAGCAATCAACAAAAATCAAACCAACCCCAACCCACATAAAAGCAAAAAAGTAAAACTCCACAAAAACAGCCTTTCCACAGCTCCTGCTTGCGCTGCAGAGCAAAGCTGGGAAAGCCTTTCTCCTCCCTTGACCTCACATGCCCTTCAACTACGGCCAGGTTCGGAAGGGGATGGAAAGTGCCAAGTGTTAAGGTGCAGCTCAGCTCCTGATGTTTCCAGTCTCTCAAGTACTGTTGGCCTGTTCCTGCTCAAATAGTGCCATGGCTAAATGTGAGCGGGATGCAAGCCCTTCCAAGTTACTGAGGACACAGCGGTGGTACAACTCCTCACTGAGCCGGGGGTTGCAGCTCCTCAGTGCATATTTCTGCACTAACCCAGGCTCCACAGCCCGAAATAAGTGCAAACCAGAATAATGGAGGAAGACATCAAATACCTCCATGCTCTCCAGCACTTCATCTCGATCTAGGATATCAGCTGCTAGCTTGGTACGTGCTGTCATATAGTCAGAGTTATAAAAGCAGGCCTCAGCAAAGGAATGTCTGTCAAAATGTCCATCCTTCAGGAAGTCAGTGCTGGACGAAGCAGTCTGCTCACTACGGTATACCAGTGCAGGGTTGAACTCTTGAAAGTGCACTGGGAAAAAGACCTGCCAATTGCTGATTGTATTCATGCGGCAGCGGTTCAGGAACTCCATATTGATTTCTGTCCAGACACTGGCCAAGAAGAACAAGGTGTCCACGGGGTGCTTCTTTGAGACTATATCCATGAGTTTCACTTGTGACGGCACCTCAGTTTTGACACTAATCCAGGGGATTTTAACTTCTGCATAGCGTTTCTCCAGCTCTCCTACCATGGCCTTGACTCCAGCAAATACATCTACCTGGCTGACTCGCTGGGCATCATACGGATGGTAGATGAAAAGTAAAGTCAACAAGGCATTATCATGTGTGTCCAGTGTGTTCATAGCATACATGTCCAGGAAGTTTGACACAAAATCCAAGTCCTGTACCGTCAATGGAAGCACCAGTTGCACACGCGTGGCCTCTGTTACATACGGCATGGGAATAATTTCTACCTTACTTAAGGGCCGCACTAAGCTCACTCGTTTAACTAGAACATGACTGTGGCCCTTCTGGGTTACTGCCTCCAGCAGCAGGTCCAGCGTGTATTCCATTCCTCGGGTGGGGTCAAAGCGCCGGTAGCCATTCAGCAACTGCCGCTTGCTGAACCGGAGCAAGGGCTGGTAGCGGCTGTTAAGTTGCTCAAGTGCTGACTCAATAATGTCACTGACATCTGCTTTGCTGGCTCCAGAGAGCTCGCACTTGGGGGAGCCATCAAGGCAGGAGAAGAGGTGCTGCTCAGTGAAGTAGTCCCAGCTGATTACCTCAAAACGTGACTTTGGAAGAAATGGAGAATTAATCCCCACAGGCCACGTCAAACTTGCCTCGCCTGCAGGAGTCAGCGATGTCAGATTCCTGATCTGCATCTGTGCAAAGAGAACACATACTGACTGATCGCTGACACTTTCTCAAAGGTACAATCCATGTCCCGCTCAGACCTGCTTCACCATTTAGGGCTGTATCTTGGTAGTATCGCACCAAAAGTTTTTTTTGCATGGTATCAGAGCGCTAAGTCTGAGACACAGGATTATCTCTTGTGTTTGGCTGATGCTCATACACAAATAGAAACAATACCCTTCTATGACAAAGTTGAAAGAAAAGGAAACTTGTTAGGACAATAGTTTTTGCAGATTTCCCTTGCCACATACCTGCAGTTCCTGGATCTCCTGGTAGGCTCTCTCCAGCTGGATCCTGCTGAAGTGCTTGTGCAGCCGGTACATCAGGCTCATGTCAGAAACAGGGTGCACGGCAATAGCTGCTTGGAACTCTTCTTCCTCCTCCTTCTCTGGATCAGCATTTTTAGCCAGTTCATATGTATGGTAATACTGACCCTGAAGAGAACAAAAGCCAGAAAGACTGGTATGGAATGCTACCATTCACAGTGAAGCCTTCCCTCACTCCAGACATGCATCCTCTCCTCCCTCTAAGCTGACTGCAGGACCCAGAGGTAAGAACACAACACAACAGTTCTCATTCCAAATACTACCTCTATATACAACAAGCCTGTTAACTTAGTGCTGCCACACAAGACAACTCTCTCCTCCTCTATCTTACATCAAGCTGATCAGCCCCCTCAGAATCAAGCTGAAAAGCCCCTTTGCTGTACAGCAGGGACTTGTAAGAGCATGGGGTCCATCCAACTTAGCTAACACAAAACCCTCGGGAGAGATGTAGTACCTGGAGCTGGGACACACAAGTGATGCCAAGGAAATCAATGATGCAACGTCCCAGCCATTCATCTGGGCGCACACTGAGGATCTCGTTGCGGCAGCTGTCCAGGTGCGGGTGAAGTTTCAGCAGCAGGCTGCGGGACAGCAGGTAGCCAAAGCCACCATGGCAATAGCGAGCCTGCTCATCTCCCCCAATGAACTCCTCTGCTCGTCCCAGGTAGACATCTTGGTTAATACTGAGATGCGTCACCAGAGCTTTGACTTGTTCAGCCTGGGTATAGGTGTCATCCTGCATGATGTAGAACCAGTCATAGTCAGAACCAAAGTGCTGGTGGATATAGTACATGGTCTCATACATCAGCCAGATGGGTCGCTCATCCCCGTGGGCCACCAGCACCATGCCATGAGGCACCTTGGCACTGCGCAGCCCTGTGAAGTACAGCAAGCGTGAGAAGTGATGAGCTATGGTCTTGTTCACAGCCACTGCCAGTGTATTCAGGGTAGCCCTGGAAGTCAGCACTGCCACAAATAGCCTCTCGTGGAATCCCAGCTCTGTCTGGATGTAGCGAGTTCTGCAAAGAAAGAACAGAACCACATCACAAAGTACTGGGTGACAAAAACCAGAAGATTACGTTAACGGCCAGAACTTCGTTATTGGGGGACAGTTACAGAGGTATCCTGCCAGCAACACCAGGGATAAATCCTTAATTGCTGGAACTTAGAAATGGTGAAAAAATTAACCTTAAAAGTAGAGCTTTAAGACCAGACTCACTAGGAAAAATCCCACTTAATAAAAGCACAAGCTTCCTTCAATCTTGCAGTACTTTGTCAAACTACTGCAAGTTAAAACAGTAAATTCAGAGTCAACCACTAGCAAGCCATACACATTGTTACTAACAGCTTAGAACTTCCCCAGTGAATAGGGCAGTTAACAATTTTTTAAGAGCCGTTTAACACCTTATTAGCCACAAGTAACAGGAAAGTGAATATTCCCAGCCCTCCTGGGGCGTTTTTTTGTTTGTTTTGAAAAGCTCGCTATTGCTCCCCTTTAAGAGAGCTATCTCAGCACTGCACCATGCAGTTATAACCGACGTTTTAACACCACGTCACGTATTTCAAACGGCGTATCTCAGCTTCAACCCGTCAACTCATTAGAAGCAGAACTCTGAACACCCACTGTGTACGGCTGCTTTCCTCCAGGAGCAGCCCTCCCACAAAGAACAGCTTTTACCTGAGCACCTTCTTGTAAGGCTTGTTGGGGTCCCGGTAGTACGGCACGATCCGAGGCCGGAAGTCCTCGTGGCCCGGGCCCGGCCCGGCCTCAGCCGCCTCGTGCCGCACCCCGCTGCGGAGCTCGGCCCGGCCCGCCGCCCCCAGGCACAACTCCTCGCCGCCGCCCTGGCTCCAGGAGGCGCGCAGCAAGCTGAGGCTGCAGCCCAGGGACAGGCCGAGCACGAGCGGCAGCGCGGGCCGCAGCGCCGCCAGCAGCGCAGCTAAGCGCATGGCGACGGCGGGCACCGCGCTCCGGAGGCGACCGCGGTCCCGCTACGGCCGGGCTGCGCTCACGGCGCCGCGGGACATGGCCGGGGCGGCTCGCCCGGCAGCTGGAGAGGAGCGGACCCGGCAGGGAGCGCGACGGGCTCGGGCCGCGCCGCTCAGCGGCCCCGCGGCACAGCCGGCTGCAGGCAGGGCGGTGCGGCGGCGCGGAGGCCTCGGACGAGGCCGGCCTGGAGCGCTGTGCCGGAGCGGGGAGCGGGACCCAGCCGACCGCTCTCCCACCGCTGCCACCTCAACCGCCTCATCGCCACCCTCTACGCTTCCGCTTCCTCTTTTCTCTCTATGGTGCCTCGGCAGCCACTCTATCCGCCGGCTGCATCACCTCTATGGTAGCGCGAGGCGCGGCTCCAACGGCACATCCGGGGCGGGGCCTGAGCCGGGAGGCGCGGTGCACGCCGGGACGCGCAGTGCCCTGCCCGGAGCGGCGCGGCCGCCCGGCGTGGGTGACGCTTCGCGCTCCGATTGGCCGCCGCGCCGGGGGGCGGGGCATGCGCACGCGGTAGCGGCTGTCCTGTTGCGACAGAAGGAAAGCGCGGAGCGGCCGGTGCGGGTTGAGCGGCGCGGGGCGGGCTGGGCCTGGTGCGGCTGGGCGGAAGGGCGCCGGGCGGGGATCGGCGCCGCTGGCGGTTCTCGACCCGGCCCGGTGGCGCCGCGTGCTCCGGGGCGGAGCGGGGATCCGGGGCGGGTCGGGGCGGCGCGGCCTAACGGCCTCTCTCCCACCGCAGCCGCTTCTCCCCGCCGCGCCATGCCCTCAGACCTGGCCAAGAAGAAGGCGGCCAAGAAGAAGGAGGCGGCGAAGGCCCGGCAGCGGCCCCGCCGCGCCCTAGAGGAGAACGGCGATGCCGGGACGGAGCCACAGGAGGTTCGGGCACCGGAGGCCAACGGAACGCCGCTGCCAGGTGAGAGGCAGTACTGCCCGATCCCGGCCTCGCCGCTACGGTTGTAGCCCGGCGGCGCCGTGTGCGTCCTGCGCTCCGGAGCGCCCCGCCGGGGCCGTCTGCGGGCAGCAGCGGGGCCGGACTGCAGCGCACGGGGCCGGCTGTGCCTCCGCAGACGCAGCGCCCTGCAGGAGCCGCTCCCTTCTGTGTATCGGTGGGGCTCCGCGATCGCCTGTGCTCGGCTTCGTGCGGCTGTGGCGTTCCCTGGGGTCTCCTTTGGAACTGCCGGATGGAGGCAGAGCGCTGCCGGCACCCTCAGGCAGGCGCTGCCCCGAGCTCTTGGCACTTGAAGCCCGGCCCCGCTGGTTTCGTGCTGCAGCAGGCGCTGCGTTCTTTTTTTCACCGTTAAAGTCAGCGCTGCTGCGAACCTCCGTCCGTCCGTTTATCGGGGCTGTGTCTGGTCCGCAGGGGCCGAACTCCTGAGGACCGTGGGCGAGGTGAAGCTTACCGGGGCGGCGCTCTTCCTGCCCGGTGACCCGCGGACTGCTGGGCACGTGTTTTCCAGGAGTGAACGCTTCGGGCCAAGCGCATAGCGCGATGTTTATGGGGTGCTCAGCGCAGGACCCCGGGCGGGCAGAGGCCGTGCTGCGGGGAGCGCGGCGGAACCCTCTACCGAGATCCCGGCTCTTGGCCGCCCCCGTGAGCCCGGCGGACCCCCGCCGTCCTGCGCTGCCCGAGCGCCGCTCCCGTGCTGTGGCCGCGGGCGCCGCGTCCCGAGCCGCCGGCTGTGGGCGGGGCCTGGGCGCCCGCCCGGTCCGAGCCGCCAATCGCTCTCAGTCGCCCTGGGTCATTTGCATGTCGCGCTCCCATTGGTGGAGGCAGGGCGGCGCGGGCCGAGCGCTTTCGGCGCGCTGAGGGCTCAGCCGGGCGCGGGGCTGGGCGGCAGGCGGCGGGAGCCGTGCGGGCATCGGGCGGGTGGTCGGGCTGGAAAAAGCGACTCGTTTCTGTCAGCTCCCCGTGAAATCGTCGTTTATCCCGACGAGAACCGCATCGTGCCTCTCATCCGGTGAGCTTGCGGTGCTTTCAGAGGGACTTCCGCGGCGGCGCGGTTTGCGGCGCTCCTCCCCGTAGGCAGGGCTGGCCGCGGGGCTGCCCGGAGCGCTGCTGCAGGCGGCCCAGCCGAGCGGCGTTCCTCGCTGCGCTCTGACGGCACGGCTCTGCTCTGCTTAGCTGAGTGATGTGAAGGTCCTTGGTGCGCTTTTCTTCAAACGGCAGAGTGTCATCGGGAGTGGAAATGGTGCTGTAAGTGCTGCAGCAGCAGAGGTGTGCCTCTGTCCTACAGCACGAGCAAACAGATGGGCGTGTTATCTTCTCAGAAGTTGGTGGGGTCTCTTCCAATGTTCTGCTTCTCTCTTATTTTTACTTCCTGCCCAAGGTCTCTTGAGGCCAGCCGTGTCCTTAAACTAGCGACCAAAAGTGCTGAAGCCTTTTCTCTATCACAGCCCTTTGTGCACAGAATCACAGAATGGCCTGGGTTGGAAGGGACCCCAAAGATGATGAAGCTCCGATCCCCCACCACAGCAGGGCCACTGACCTCCACATTTCATACCAGCCCAGGCTGCCCAGGGCCCCGTCCAACCTGGCTTTGAACACCTCCAGGTGCTCAGCCATAGAGGTCTGTCCCGCCATTTGGATCCCAGGCCAGCTGCTCTGGCTGCTCCCTGTGTTGCTTTGGCCAGCTCATGTTTTTGAGCGGCTGTAAGTCATGTCAGATTGCTACACCTCCATCTGCTGAACTGCAGAACTGAACGCTGTTGCTCTGGGCCTCCTCAGTATTTCTGTAGCAGTGAAGATGCTGCTTATTGTTATAGTCCTGGTCTTACTGGTTTAGGGGCTTACAGCTTCCTATGTGTTTGTGAGTCAGCAACACTTCTGATTCTTCTCTCCATACAGAAGTGGATGCTCTTACGAAAGAGCTGGAGGACTTTGAATTAAAGAAAGCTGCTGCTCGTGCTGTGACAGGAGTGCTGGCTTCCCATCCCAACAGCACTGATGTGCACATCATTAACCTCTCGCTGACCTTCCATGGCCAAGAGCTGCTGAGCGATACAAAACTTGAGCTGAATTCTGGGAGGCGATACGGCCTCATTGGACTCAATGGGATCGGTGAGTTGTGGGCCTCCTGGAGCTCAGTGAAGGTTCTGTGATGCTGAGAAGTTGGACAGATGCATGGGGTAAATGCTGGAAACCAGAAAAACAGCTTGTAGATGTGGGTGGGACATGGCATTGTCATCTCCTGCATTTCTCCATACATGGGCAATTGCTAGCAGGAGCATGAGGTCACATCCTGACTTTGAGCTGTGCTTTTGGACTGGTTTCTGTGGAGAGCAGGGTGAGATGCCTGGGATCTGTGAATGTCTGATTCCTTTTTGCAGGCTTTGTGTAGCAGTGTCAGTCAACCCAACACTGCTGCTATTGGCTGAACAAATGTCACAGTATGGAGTGGCTGGCAGTGCGTATAATTGCTGGGGAAGTAGTGCTGTATATGGAAAGGTGCAGAATATGGGTACAATTGAAGAAGAGCTAATAAGAGTGATGAGCTGTTTAACTTCCAGGCTCTCTAATGATAAGTATAATGTTTTCCTCTTATTAGAGGCTAATGCCCTGGTAACGGGTGTTAAATCTGGTTAGACAGCAAGAAGTATACAGCAAAGATAAACCTGTATCTGGGCAAGTGCTGAACTGCAGTGGTGTTGCTGTCTCTCTGATTTCTTATGGGCAAGAAGTTGCCAAGGATTTTCTTGGGTTGTGAAGGGAGAGAATAATGTGATCTGATTGTATCTCATCTGTGGGTTGTTTGCTTTCTTTTTTTGTGGCATATCTTACTGAATCCAGCAGATAACTGTGGAGTGTCTATCTACACACAGGGAAATCCATGCTTTTGTCAGCTATTGGGAAACGAGAAGTGCCCATTCCAGAGCACATTGATATCTATCACCTGACCCGAGAGATGCCTCCCAGTGACAAGACCCCTCTACAGTGTGTGATGGAGGTGGATACAGAGCGGTCCATGTTAGAACGAGAAGCAGAGCGTCTGGCTCACGAAGATGGTAAAGCTTTTCAGAGTCCCTGTGGACAAGGGGCACCTAGTCCACTTTCCCTTCCCATTGAAGAAAAGGTCTTACCTGGGTTCCTTGGCAGTTTTTACAGTACCTCTTTCTCCAATTCCCTGTACTAGTTGAAAAGTCCTGTAGGATTCCACTTATTTAGATAATAATTCTATGCAGCTGCTTAAGAAGTATCTAAGGCATGTGAGTAGAGAGGTCAGAATAGTGGTGAAGCAGATGGAGTTTGAACTTTCTCAGTTGTACATACATGCAGCTGAGAGCCCATTATTGTTAGAAGTGCTGACAGGCAGGCTCTTTTTCAGCGGAGTGTGAGAAACTCATGGAGTTGTATGAACGTCTGGAGGAGCTGGATGCTGACAAGGCAGAAGCGCGGGCCTCTCGAATCCTACACGGCTTGGGGTTTACACCAGCCATGCAGAGGAAGAAGCTGAAGGACTTTAGTGGTGGCTGGAGAATGAGGGTAGCTCTTGCTAGGTGAGTAGTACAGTGCCTGCTGCCTCCTGGGAGAACGCCTGTCTGTTCCTCAAGCTCAAAGCCACATAACAGTTCCAAGAACTTAGAGCAGAGCTCAGAGGCTTTGGGTTTACATTATGCTGTCATCTTCCCTCTCCTTTTAGAGCCCTCTTCATTCGGCCATTCATGCTACTGTTAGATGAACCCACAAACCACCTTGACCTGGATGCCTGTGTGTGGTTGGAAGAAGAACTGAAAACGTAAGCATGGAGGAGTGTGCAGCTTCCATGGGTTGTGGTTTTCTGCACAAACATCTTGTCAGCATGTGAAGCAAGTGCTATAGAAATAATTGTCTATAGTTCTTGTGGCTACATGACTATACTGCAGTACCAGTTATACCATCATGTAGCTTTCTGCTATATCAGAACAGAGGGTTTCTTGACACAAGGGCAATGATTTGAAGACAAGCCTGTCTCTTTCTCGGTGAAGAAATGAGAAGTACTGGTTTATAATAAGAAGTACTGGTTTATACTTACCTACTGGTTAAACCTACTGACCTCCTGAAG